GCTGGTAACTGTTAACGCACTGCGAGGGATCAAGTTCTGATCCTTTGATTGTGTTGATGTAACTCGGACACTCCTCTGTGATAAGTCACAATTTCTAATCTTTTTTGCATCCATAGATGGCGGGTGAGAAAAAAACAAGCGAGAAGGCGCCTGGCAAGAAGAAGCCAAGTGAGAAGAAGCCAGCTGAGCAGAAAGCTGGGCAGAAGGAAGGAGGCGAGAAGAAGAAGAGAGTGAGGAAGCACCATGCCAGCCGTAACCCTGTCCTGGCCCGGGGCATCGGGAGATATTCCCGCTCAGCCATGTACGCCAGGAAAGCTCTGTACAAGCGCAAGTACACTGCTCCGGAGACAAAGGTGGGTCGGGAGCTACTGTGGTTAAATAATCGTGTTTTTCAGGGTGACTTTGGTTTGAAATTTCACCCCGTTTTCCCTTTTTCTTTGTGTATACAGATAGAAAAGAAAAAGAAAGAAAAGCCACGTGCCACCATCACCAAACCGGTTGGTGGAGACAAGAACGGGGGCAGCCGCGTGGTGAAGATCCGCAAAATGGTAAGAAAAAGCAGAGGAACGGGGAAAAGCTGCTGTGTGTGACCTGGGAGTGAATGAAGGTCATCAGGTCATCGTCAGGGAAATGGCATCCCCTCTACTCTGCCCTGGTGAGGCTGCATCTGGAATATTGTGTCCAGTTCTGGGCCCCACAGTTCAGGAAGGACAGGGAACTGCTGGAGAGAGTCCAGCACAGAGCCACCAAGATGATGAAGGGAGTGGAGCATCTCCCTGCTGAGGAAAGGCTGAGGGAGCTGGGGCTCTTTAGCTTGGAGAAGAGGAGACTGAGGGGAGACCTAATTAATGTTTACAAATATGTTAAGGGCAAATGTCAGGAGGATGGAGCCAGGCTCTTCTCAGTGATGCCCAATGGTAGGACAAGGGGCAATGGGTGTGAGCTGGAACACAGGAGGTTCTGCTTCAACTTGAGAAGAAACTTCTTTCCAGTGAGGGTGCCAGAGCCCTGGGACAGGCTGCCCAGGGAGGGGGTGGAGTCTCCTTCTCTGGAGACATTCAAGACCCGCCTGGACGCCTTCCTGTGTGATCTCATTGAGGTTCCTGCTCTGGCAGGGGGGTTGGACTGGATGATCTTTCGAGGTCCCTTCCAATCCCTGACATTCAGTGATTCTGTGATCTCTTGAGAAAGGCGGAATCTAAGCTGTGGTGAAAGCTGTTTGTGTCGTGGAATAGAGGGTGCTGCAACGTTTTGCTTCTCTTTTTCTAGCCCAGATACTATCCCACCGAAGATGTTCCTCGCAAGCTTCTGAGTCACGGCAAGAAGCCCTTTTCCCAGCACAAGAGGCGGCTGAGGGCCTCCATTACCCCAGGAACCGTCCTGATCCTCCTGACCGGCCGTCACAGGGGCAAGGTAACAGGAACGTCCTCCTCTGCTCCTCCCCACCAGGACTCCGCGCTGGCTTCACGACTTTTCTGTGCTGGGATGTTTTGACTGAGCAGAGTTACCTGGGATTTATGTCACAGGGCACTGCTCAGCCGCAAGATGTGCATCTGTTTGTCTGTGAATTCTGCCCAGGTGCTTTCTCTTGTCCCACCTTTAGGGGAACAGTCGTTAAATTGATGTTGTTCTAAGCACAGAGCTGGGGGTGAAGCTGGTCTGGGTACTGAGACAAAATTGATTGCAGCGGCGCAGGAAAGCGCGTAGGCTGGTGCCGTGCTGACCCTGCGCTGCAGGATGAGACCCCGACCCTGTTTCTGTCGCTGTTGCAATGAGGCCAAAACTTTGTCTCGGACTATCTATTGCAAAGGAAGAATTGCATTTTCTTTCTTAATCTCATTATCAGGGTAACATTTGGCTGTTACATTAAGCCATGCTCTGCATCTTAATGATGTTTGCTCACAGGTCTTGACTGACTTTAGTTATTTTCCTGAATTCTTTGGCTTCAGTTGTCACATTACTTCAAAAAATATTGTTCAAGGGAGGAAAACTTGACCAGGAAGAGTAAAATGTAACTGGGGGATGGCTCTGACCATGCTCTGTGTTGTGGTCCCCTCTGGGTTTTATCTAGTTCCTGCTTTTAACTAGTGTGTCCCAAGGATTTGGGTAACAGGATGGCTGTGTCACCATCCTGGGATGGGGAGAGCTGGAAAATACACAAACTGGCTTTGCTCAGCCTGGAGGGTCGGGATCTGCCATGGGTGTGGGAACTGGCAAAGCTCCGCTCTGGGAAGCGTTGGCACCTTGGCTCCTGCGTGGTCGCTCCTCGTGGCTCCTGCGTGGTCACTCCTCGTGGCTCCTGCGTGGTCACTCCTCGTGGCTCCTGCGTGGTCACTCCTCGTGTCACACAGTTGTGTCCCTGACTGGGTGCTTGGTTGGTGCTTCTGCCAGTAACGGGGGCTGGGTGTGGGCGCGGTCCCAGTTTGGTGGCAGTATTTCAGAGCACTGGGACCTGATGTCACATCTCATCTCTTTTCAGCGTGTCGTCTTCTTGAAGCAACTTGATACTGGCCTTCTGCTGGTTACAGGTATTTAAGTGTGATGATTTTTGTTTGTTTTGAGGAGGTGGTTTTTGGGGGGTTTTTAAGTTTATCTCTGGGGTCAGTAGTGTTACATACAGCTCTGCATGCGGATGGTTTGGCGCATCACGTGTTTGTGTAACTAAGTGGAGTTGTGACTTTCCAGGGAGGTGGAGGAGAGGCAATTAAGCTTCAGCACCTGCAAGATACCAGGAAACATTTTTTGGCATTTCTAGAGGCTGTGGGAAGGGGCTTTGTTGATCAGATTTTAGCTGTAGGCATCTCTGAAGAAACTAGTTACCTCCTACACTACAAAAATTGAACTCCAAAGCAGTGGTGGTTGCCAGGACAGCTCACCTTGTTCTTTCTCTCTTTAGGACCCTTGGCTATCAATCGTGTCCCTCTGCGTAGGGCCCATCAGAAATTTGTTATTGCTACATCTACAAAGGTTGATATCTCTGGAGTGAAAATTCCCAAGCATCTCACTGATGCCTACTTCAAGAAGAAGAGGCTGCGTAAGCCCAAGCACCAGGAAGGCGAGATCTTTGACACTGAAAAAGAAGTAAGGAGCATGATTGTTCTTTCTTTTTGAATGCCCTTGTTACTTAAAGCCAGGCTGGAAAGGGGAAAATACCATGAAACAAGTGACCAATTTAATTTTAAGTGGTCCTCAATAAAGTGAGGTCATGCCATTAAAATGCATTAATACAGCAGCATTGAGATGAACCCCTTTTAAATGTGGGGATTCTTTACCTTAGCAGAACAGCAGCGATGATTATTCCAGTTCAGTGTCTTTTTTGACTGAGAAACACCTTTGCTGTTCTGATACCACCAACAGCGTGCTGCTGGCTCTGCGATCTGTGGCACACGCCAAACAGTGGCTTCAGTCCTCCCTACCACCTCCGCTCTCCTACCACCTTTCCCATATTTAGAACAAATAGAGAAAAGATTTCCTGAAAATGCCAGAACTCAGGGTTTGCCCTGAATTTTCTCATCTCTGTAGAAGAGTCTGAGGTTGCTCTACAGGATTTTAACATTATTCTTTGTACTTTCTAGAAATACGAGCTAACGGAGCAGCGCAAGACAGACCAGAAGGCGGTGGATTCACAGGTCCTTGCGCAAATCAAGAAGGTGCCTCAGCTCCGTGGGTACCTGCGTTCTACATTCTGTCTCTCAAATGGAGTCTATCCTCACAAATTGGTGTTTTAACTGCTCAGAAAACACCACATTAAATTTGAAAGGAAAAAAAAAAAAAAAAAGAGCAAGGATTTCTGGTGTCTTCATTGCAATCCAGAATAGAAAGTGTCGCACAGATCTTGCAATACGTGTTAGTTAAAGGATAGTGAGACTGCTTGTGGCATGAAATTCTGAGGGACTGGATACAGATGACTAAAATTTAGTGTGCGTGAGGGTTTTGTGTGGTGGGGGTTAGTTGGGATTTGGGTTGGGGTTTTTCCCCTATTCAGTATAACCAGAAAGGAATTGGCACTTGAATTTCAGTTATCTTAACTATGAATGAGTTGGAGGGGGGAAAAAAAAACCCCAAACAGATTCTCTTTTGGGAAAGAGGATTTCCATACTGGATTGATTACCCATCAGGACACATTCCAGAGTAAACATCCAGCCCAGTGTCTGCACTGGTGTATTTCTCTGCACCCTCACTGAGCTGAACCCAGTGCTTCAGGTGTCTGTTGGGAAGAGCCAGGTCCTAGCCCTGAACCACTGCTGGGTGCCTCGTTAGCATTTTAAAGCTCATGTACAGCTTTGAGATGGTATTTCTGACAAAGAGCTTTGATCCATCAATCACCACATAAACCTCAGCAAATAGAGCAATTTTTAAAAGACATTTCAGGAGCTATGCCTTACGTTTTGAAGTAAGTTTAAGAGTTTTGCAGGGTAACTTGGAACAGTAACAAAATTTGGAATATATGTCCTTTCCCAAATGCTGTATTTTTTTCCTGTTCTTTGTTTATCCATGTGGACTGTAATGTCAGGAAGAATACCTGCTTAGATCAGAAAGGTAAAAAGCATGATTCTTAATTCTGTAAGTTCAGAAATGAGTTAAAAAGCAGAAAGTGTTTCTGTGAAAGGCAAGCATGTTTCTATTGTGAGAATTTTATGGAATCTCAGCAATTTTTCCAATCCTAAAAACTGTCAGAAAGCGAGTTGAGAAAGGTTGTTTGTTTTCTTTCTCTGTTGAGGTCAGTTACCAGATACCTGGAAGGAGATGCTTGGGTAGTAATAGCTCTGCTCTTAGAAAAAATGAGGATGTACATAACAAATCTGGCAAGCCTGAGCTCTTTCTTAGCCAGACTTATGCAGGAAACCAGGCTTATGTAACTGCACCATCTGTCTTCCCATTAATTCTCAGCTGAAAGTAGCCAAAGGGGTCAAACTTGACAGGGAGTAGAGGTTTTGTCAAATTCATACAAGCATCAGGCAAAGGGGATAGAAAAGGGAGTGATAACCCCACCGAGGTGGAAGCCTTCATCACACCTTAGTCACACTCACTGGGAAGGAGGAATTGGGCTCCCAGTGCTCCAGAGCCAATGAAAAAAGTAAAAATACTGTGCAGAATACCTGGCCTGGTGGATTCTCACACCAAAGGGCTATGGTCATTACAGCTAGTACCAGTGTCAGGGTATGGAAGCACTGGTTCCTCTTCCACCATCTTCCTTTTGATAA